TTTGGATATATGACCAAATTCCATACCGGAATTAAATAGAGCTAGGTTACTAAAGTCACCCACTAATACACATTTTGAAATGTCTGTTTGCTAAAGCCCTAGTCAGACTTTATGCCAGGCTCTGTGATACATTAATGTAATCCTACACAGAAATTTGAAGGCTGATCCAGGAAGAATGGGTACAAGGCCAAGGTAGGCTACACAATGAAATTATCTCAAGTGGAAGCATGACATAGCCCATCGAGAGGACATCACTGTTACATACGAGATGATAGCACAAATCTTTAAGTAGAAAGGTAACAGACTTTGGTTCCCTTTCCCATTGGACCTCAACACTGGTCTTCGTGGTAATAAAAGAGGGACAGCATTGCTGAAGCTGGCTCAGAGCCTTGTACTCTGGTATGAGCATGTAGGCTAGATTCAAAGGGGGGAAAAGGAGAAAAATAGAAGAAGAAGAAGAAGAAGAAAGGTGACATAGTACTGTGTGGTAATTATTTCTATTTAACATTAACCTAATTTTGGTCTTATCTAAAACAACAGGTGACATAGTACTGTGCGGTAATTATTTCTATTTAACATTAACCTAATTTTGGTCTTATCTAAAACAACTAAGCAAAAAGAACACATTTCACTGATGAAGCCACAAGTTGTAAAACATGGAATGCTGATACGATGTTTCCAAGGAATCATTCTTTTGTGACTTGTGTGCTTCTCCTTGCAGGTAACTAGTTCTCCCCTGCTCCCAATGCATTACAGAGATGGACATGCTTACTGAATCCTGGAAACTCCTCTTTTCCAAGTAATATATACAGTTTTCTTATTCCAGGATCTATCTTAAGACTGTAAGTGGCCTAGGTACAATCACAGTCAGAAATCTGGGACTTTCCCCGTACTTTTATTACCTGTAGTTCATTTTCTGATCATCTACATTCATTTTTCACTTTGAAGTTATGAGAATTTCATACATTTATAACTTATTTAAATAAATCAGTCTTCCTAAGACATGTATGCCATGTAAAATTTTCACATATTCCTTTCATATTAGATGTATATTGAGCTATTTCCTCACCTATCAAACTGTTACCATATAAATAGTTCCTAAAACTTGGTAACACTGATCTTGAGAACCAGGTCCACTCAGCCATCAAATGTGATATCACAATTTATTAAATAAACCAGAGAAACTATATAGTAGATAATCAGTGATGAAAAATAAGCAGATACTTGGTGTACTGGGTGAGGGATTTCCTTGAGTTCAATACAAAATTCAATAACCAGCTTACAATGAATAGGTTATTATTTCTGGTTACAAGTTTCCTGTCTAAGGCTATGCACACAGATGCATTCCTTCCTCTGCTAGGGAACAGAGAGTAAGTTTAGGAACTGTGTGATGGGCAAACCCCCATATGATAATTCATTTTGGCAGTCAACCTGGCATGATCTAGAATTACCTAACCGAGAAGGTTCTGGGTATGCTTCTGATTGTCTAGATACATTAACTTCTAGGCATGCCTGTACCTAACCTGGCTGAATGAGATGGGTAGACCCACCTTAAGCATGGGAAGCCTATTTCCTGCGTTGGGTTCCTGAATTTTTTTTTTAAGGGAAAAAGCACCCTGAGGATGAGTATACTATTCTCTCTGCACCCTGAATGCAGACACAATGAAACCACAAGCCTCTAGGTGCTATGACTCCACCTTCCCATGATGGACTGCAAGCCAAAATAAACTTTCTTTCCTGTAAATTGCTTTTCTCAAATACTATTATCACAAAAATAGCAGACGTCACTTTAAAAAGGAGTAAGAAAAAGGTCTCACAATGCCCTTGAAGAGCATACACCAAATTATACAAAGATTTCCTACTAGAAACCAACTGTCGTATTTTCAAAATCTAAATACTGTAATATTGGATACCTGCCCATAGACTTTTAAGGAACAGTATATGGAAAATATAATAAATATTAATGCAGAACTTAGTTTTAAGAATGATGCTTCTATCAAGTTCAGTTCTTCTCAAAGTCATTAAGATGAAATTGACAATGCCTCTTAATGAAGAACCAACACTCCTGCCCCTATATGTGCTTTTACTCTATGTGTTTGAATGTGGTTATTTTTGAATAAAAGTGTTTTGAATGTTTCTGTCTAATGATCTGAGATTTCTACTGCCTTTTAAATGGTTTGTCTAATTGGCTGATAATATGAACCAAACAACACCCCAAGACTGATAATGATCCCAGCTGCAATATACCCTTTTATCCCTAAGTTGGTTTTTGCCAGTGTTTTCAGCGGAATAGAGATGAAATTACAACAAAGAGTTAACCAAATGGTCTCTAAACTTACTCTTAAATATCATGAACATAAACTGGATATGCACATAACTTCAACAATATATATTTCAATAGCAATTTCAAACAACCCTTGGGGATTACACTTACTTAATACAAGGCCAAACATTTCTTCTACAATAAGTTGTACAATTAATGCTATAATTATGATAAAAGTGTGTTCACGTTATTAACACTGTGTAAATGTTTAGATAATATTATTAAGTAGAATCGTCTTACTATTTGAATCTTGGTGCAGGGTGACTAAGAGTTCCCCACATAAGAATAAATTCATATTTTGTTCATTTCCTCAATGATTTAACCTCAAGTTCTGATCAATTCTTCAGGATAGTCTTCTCTGACATTTCAGGCCCAGGGCAATTTTTGTTCCTTAAGGGTTTTCGAAGTGCTTAGAATATGAGTTGCTACACTGTGTGTCTTGCACAGTAATATGTAGCTGAGTCCTCTGTTGTCAGACTTCTCAGCTCCAGGAAAGTTGTGGATGGGTCCGCAGTCAATGTGGCCTTGCCCTGGAACTTCTGATCATAATCTGTATCCCCATCTTCAGGATCAATAGCTCCAATCCATTCCAGCCCCTTTCCAGGCTTCTGCTTCATCCAGTGTATATAGTATTCGGTAATGGTAAAGCCAGAGGCCTTGCAGGACACCTTCACAGAAGCCCCAGGCTTCTTCAGCTCAGCCCCAGATTGATGGAACTGAACTTGGGAATGGACACCTGTGGAGGAGAAGTACAGTGTGTGTCACTGACATCTTGGTCTCTGCCCCCTTCTCATGCTTGGTACAGAGATCACCTTACCTCTGGCTGCTGCCACCAGGAAGAAAATGACCCAGCTCCAGACCATGGTGATCACCTGTGCACTCACAGAGTGTGGAGAAGTGAGTGGCCATATCATCCTGCCAGATATAGACATCCTTATATTTACCACCACAGACTCAGGTCATTTGCTTATTAATGGGATAGGGTACTTTTTAGATCAAGAGTTAATTCAGCTTGACAGGGAGTAGTTAGAAGTTATCTGGGTCAGAAAATGGCATGATGCTGATATTAAAGACCACTTTGTTTAAGAAAATGTGTCCTTTTAAACATGCCTGAGATGTATGCATTCAGAGCTCTTCCAACTGAGAATCAAGACCTGACAGCTAGGTTGCTTAGCATGAATCATGCTTGAATGGTTCTTGGATCACCTGAACGTACTCGTGGACATCAGGTTATGAGTCTATGATTTTGAGCAAGTATACTGAGTTCATCCTCCCTCCACTGGGTAGCAGCAAAAACACTTGGGACTTTTCCATCGTATATCAATTACTATAGCCCTTGAACAGGCACTAGGAATAGGGAGCCTCAATTTATCAATTTATTCCATCAGATTGTCCAGTTGGTATTCCTGTGGGATATTTTCTTGACTGCTAAATGATGGAGGGGGGCCTAAAGTACTGTGCTACCCTGTGAAGATGGATCTGGGTTGCGTTTCAAATGGTATCTGAGTAGAAGCAAGGGACGAAAAGCAGGAAGCAGCTTTCCTCCATGGTTTCTGATTTAATTCCTGCCTTCAGCTTCCTGCTTAAACCCCTTTCCTGGTTTCTCTTTATGATGGACTATAACCTATAAGCAGAAATAAAGCCTTTCATCCTTAATATGGTTTGTTCTGTGTTTTGTCACAGCAACAAAATATAACATCAGTATCTGTGCCTCATTGGAATTTCATATGGCAATAAAATATTCAAGAAAATGTGCATGTTCACTGTATTTAACAAAGAATCTTTACTGTATTTAAAACATGGAGATTTCACATGTCAACTACAGCATGTATTGCAAAAACTCTTGAAATGATGATATTAAGAATGAATTCGACAGATGTTGACATATTCTGTCTCCCATGATTCTGCCTCTGCAAGTGTTGTATAGGACCTCTAGGGTATTGGTGGATCTAGAGTGCCCCCTGCTGACCCTGAGACCACCTTCCTGTTCTGTTTGGTCTCTGGTTATACAATCTGTACCCTCAGTATGTCTCTTGCATGGTAATCTCAACTGTTATAGAACACAACTATAGGCAGAACTCATTTGGGGCTGGGTCCAAAGAAATAGTGAGTATACTCTTTAAAAATAGCTGTGTCTTCATGATTATCAGTGTCTCCAGTAACTTTAGGCCCATATTTAGGTGCTGTTGGATATAGCAACTACAGTAAATGCTGGTGCTGTATTGAGTAACCTGAGACAGTACAGTTGAGGGACAAGGACAGCAAGGACTCCAACAAACCATTTCCTGATATACCAAATGTAAATGGGACCAAAATCCTGGGGACAGAAGACTGCCCTGAGTCAGGAGCTCCAATGTAGCATCCCACATTTCTCCATGTAAGTGCCTGGGACACTCAGATCTTGGAGTCACCAGCAAGAGATATAGAGACTATTTACTATTTGTGATGGCTAATCCTGGGTGTCAACTTGACTGGATCTGGAATTAACTGAAATGAGAGCGATCTTCTTAATGGGATCATCTGAAGCTGGAAGATATGCCCTAAATGTGGGTGTTACCTTCTGATGGCAGCTGTATAGAAGGCCAGAGCAGACAAGAAGGCCTTGCTTTTTGCTGCCTGCCTTCTCTCTCACTGGTGAGTTGGTCTTGCTCCTGTAGACTGAAGACTAGCTGATCTTTCGGAATTTATCAGACCCTTAGCACCAGATTGGGACTACTGACCCATCCAGCCTTATGGACTTAGTGACTACAGATTCTCAGCCTCTCCAGTGTGGTGAAGCCATTGTTGAACTACTCAGACTCTATCCTGTGAGCTAAGCTGACAAATCTCTCTCTATATATATATTCGTTCTACAGGTTCTGTTTCTTTGGAGATCACTGACTAATACAGATTGTGGTACCAGGAGTGGTTCTAGAGAAACAGAATTGAAGGTGAATTTTTTAAATGGGCTTTTCAGTATTTGGACCAGGCTCTCCAATTCAGAGTCTTCAGGTAGCATGGAGAGCGCTGAAAATCCACGGAGTAGGACTATATGAAATAATTAGGGAGATAGACACATTTGAATCTTCTAACTCAACTCTTGTGAAGAGCAAGAAATTTAGTGACTCTATACATAGAACATTTGACAATTTATGGAAAAATAAGAAAAATAGTCATGCTGATTGGTTACTTCTAGCATCTCTGGATCAAGTGATGAAGATAAACAATGAGCTTAGTGATAAAATTGACAAGCTCCAGATTTGAATCAACAGTTTAAAAGTTTCCAAGTGTGCCCTGGAAGAGAATCTTCTTTCCAGTAGCCAGAGAGCTAAACCTGCAGAAAATCAAGCTGGAGCCCTTATACATTTGGCTGACCTACAACTCCCAGCCTCTAAGGGTGTCAGCAGTAAAGGTGAGGGCATTGGTAGGGAAAGATTGGAATCCTGACACATGGGATGCAGATGTGTGGGAGAACCCTGTGGAGGCTGAGGACTTTGAATCCTCAGACTCTGAGGAATTCACTTCACCTGATGAATTAATCTCCCCAACCTCAGTAGACCCACCTTCCTCACCCTTTCCTGAGGAAACTAATCCGATTGAGGAAATTAATCCCATTCAGCAACATGAAAACAGAAGTCCCTCGGGGCCCAGTTGTTGTTGCCTCTAGACCTATAACCAGACTCAAAGCTAAACAGGCCCCTAGAGGAGAGATAGAACATGTGGTCCATGAGGAGGTGCTCTACACCATTAAAGGACTTAGTGAATTTGCTAATTCATTCAAGTAGAAGTCTAATGAATATGTCTGGAATAGATTTTAAGTGTGTGGGATAATGGTAGAAGGAACATAAAATTGGATCAGGCTGAGTTTATTGACATGGGCCCCCTGACTGGGGATTCTAGGTTTAAAATGGAAGCTTGTGCAGTTTAAAAAGGTGTTAAAAGTTTATTTGATTGGTTTGCTGAGGTGTTTATCAAAAGATGGCCTAGTGACAGAGAGCTGGAGATACCTGATATCCCTTGGCTTAGTGTCGATGTCGATGAAGGGATTGTAAGGCTTAGGCAAATTGACATGTGCAAGTGGATTTGCAGTGCAAAACCAAATCCTCCACAATGGGAGGGCCCAGAGGACATGCCTTTTACTGATTTTCTAACATGGAAAGTACTGAGAGAGACACCAGAACATTTGAAGAGCTTTGCTTTTGCTCTTTTCCTTTTGCCAGATCTTGCAGTTGGAGATGCTGCTGCTCAATTGCATAAATTAAATGTAAATATAATAGGTGTAACAGGACCTCGGAGTAGGGGTCAGGTGACAGTATTGAATTACCAAAGGCAAGGTGAGCATACTTAATGGGTGGCAAAGGCAAAACAATACTTATCATGGCATGACCCAAATGGACCTGTGGTACTGGCTAATCAATCGTGGTGTTCCCAGGGACCAAATACTTAAGAAACCTACCAAGTTTTTATTCGATCTGTATAAGCAAAAAAGCACTAGGAGAATTGAGAGCAAGTCAGTATTGGATTGTAGCAATAGAGAATCCTGCTCAGTCAACCAGTTTCCAGACGAGACACTTTACAGACCCAGAACCCCTTGAATGAAGGGAAGGCCGGGTGCCCTTGAGGAAGGACCTTGTCACAGTACCAAACAGTTCTGCTGTTTGCCTTTCCCCCATCCTTCCCCAGAGAGACCTACAGCCTTTTACTAGAGTCACTGTACATTGGGGGAAAGGAAATAATCAGACTTTCTGTGGCCTATTGGATACTGGTTCTGAGTTGACATTGATTCTGGGAGACCCTAAAAAGCATTGTGGCTATTGACTTGGCAAATACTTTCTTCTCAATACCAGTTCATAAGGACCACCAGAAGCAATTTGCTTTCAGCTGGCAAGGACAACAGTATATCTTTACTGTCCTGCCTCAAAGGTATATTAACTCTCCAGCATTGTGCCATAACTTTCATCGAAGGGATCTTGATCACCTGACTCTTCCACAAAATATCACCCTGGTCCACTGTATTGATGATGTTATGCTGAATTGGATTCAGTGAGCAGGAGGTAGCAGAAAGTCTGGACTAGTTGGTAAAGCATATATGCATGAGAGGATGGGAAATAAATCCAACCAAAATTCAAGGGCCCTTTACCTCAGCGAAATTTCTAAGAGTTCAGTGGTGTCGAGCATGCAGAGACATTCCTTCTAAGGTGAAGAATAAGTTGTTGCACTTGATCCCTCCTTCCACCAAGAAATAATCACAATGCTTAGTGGGCCTGTTTTGATTCTGGAGGTAGCACGTTCCTCATCTGGGTGTGTTACTACGACCTATATATCAAGTGACTCAGAAGGCAGCTACATTTGAGTGGGGCCTGGAACAAGAAAGGGGCCTTCAATAGGTGTAGGCTGCTGTACAAGCTGTTCTGCCCCTTCAGCCATATGATCCAGCATATGATGGTGCTTGAGGTATCAATGGCAGATAAAGATGCTGTTCGGAGACTCTGGAAGGCCCCCATAGGGGAATAACAGTGGAGGCCATTGGGATTTTGGAATAAGGCTTTGCCTTCATGTGCAGACAACCCTTCTCCCTTTGAGAGACAGCTCTTAGCCTGCTATTTGGCATTAGTGATAAATGAACATTTGACAATGGACTACCAAGTCACCATGCAACTGGAGCTGCCCATCATGAGCTGGGTGTTATCTGACCCCACAAGCCATAAAGTAGGCCATGCACAGCAACAATCCATTATCAAATGGAAGTGGTATATATGAGATTGGGCCCAAGCAGGACCGGAGGGCACAAACATGTTACATGAAGATGTTGCCCAAAGGCCTATGGTTCCTACTCCTGTTACAATGCCCCCTGTTCTCAAGCATGTACCTATGATTTCATGGG